CTGCGGTGCAGGCCCCACGCTGGGCTCCTGGTGAGAACGGAAACGCTGAGGCCTCTCCCCAGCAAGGCTTGGCTTTGCTGCCGGGACTGCGTGGCAAACATCGGCACGGGCTCGGCCAAGAGCAGAGCTAGACAGGTTCTGCCAGAAACAGTTCTACATGGTGAACTTCAGCCCAGCACTGACATCAAGACCTTTATCAGAGAGGTTTAAACAGAGGAAGGGTGAAGAACAGAACCACAAACAGCAAGAGCCACCTTGCTGTCATGACCAGAGTTAAGAGCAGGCACTTGGGTAATGGTCCTCAGAGGATGAGGGATTAAGCAGCGTCCCCAAACACAAGGTCTGTTGTGACACCCCAGCAGTCCTACTCGGAGAAACCGCTTTGCCGTGAGTCTCCCTAACAGACCTTAGAAAGGTGCTGTACCTCCAGCTCCTTAGCCCCGCTCCAGAACCACCACTCCTCCACACACACCTTTTGGACAGGCAGTCGTGCACACAGCTTGCTGGTGTAGCATTTGGAGCACATCATAACCAAAAATGCGATGGGTGTGGTGTAACAACCTAGAACACAAAGCCCTGAGGACATCACTTACCCTGACACACTAAAACCCAACCCGTGAGATCTTGGAGAAAACAGCGGTTTTGCCATTTTAGATACACTTGCAACTCCAGCTGCAGTCGGAAGGGACAGTTCCCCAGACATCCCCAGGTATCGCCAAGCACTCCAGTTCATTTGCTAACGAACATCTTCCCCTGCAAACAGAAGGCCAACAGACGTAATGAATTAAGCCCAGCACAAACCATGCCAGCACTGCCATCACCAGCCGGGCATCACTTTGGCAAAGTAGGTGGGAACGTGGCTGCTGTTTGCAGAAACCCAAGAACCGCAGCCACACGGTGCAACTCGGAGGAATAACGTGCTACTCTGCCCCAAAGCACCGACCCGGGCAGCGGTGTCTGTCAGTTACGCGCTGTCTTTAGTCTCACGTCCAAGTTAGGCCTCCGCACCCTTGTGAAGCATGAGGGATTTTTATTCCCACTCTCCAGGCAATCCACTTCAGAGTTTTAATGACTTCACTGACAGCACACAGGAAGCCTGCAGCTGAACACAGCTGGGCTTTCCACTCTGCAGCCCAGCGCTCTGTACAGAACATTATCCGACCCCTGACAAACCTGATGCGCCCTCAATCTTTTCCCCAGGTAACAGAGACTTGTCACAGTAACACCAAAAAGCAACGGTCCTGGCCAATGGAGGAAGGACACCTGCCGACGGGGCAGCTGCTCTCGTTTCGTTCGCCAGTGAAATCTGCACAGAGAGAATGTTGTTTGTTAAAAAAACACCCTAAAAAAACCAAGCCTGTGTTACAAAGCAGCTTAAGTTTTAATAAAAGTCTGTCTATCCAAAGTAAATTAAAGAAAAATCCAGGGGTCAAACCAAAATAAATACAGTTCTGTGGTGGTACAGCTGCATTAGGAAAGCTGGCCTCTCCTTGACCGATGGCTAAACATTCGCTCTTCAGAGATGGAGCTTCAGTCACCTCACACAGGTTAGGAACCCATGCTCTGCTGTTAAAACTGATAGATCAACTTAAAATTTTTAAGCCTGATCTCTTTTTTTTTTTACTTTGACCCAGATAAATGACTCACTTCTCTACTCTGTTAGCTTATGCAAACCGGTGCTTCCCTTTGCTCAACCACCCGTCTCCGCAGCGCCCTTTCCAGCCTCCCCTCCACCTATCGGTTCTCCTCCATTCAAGCAATATCCCCTTTTTGGATCAATGGCACGCTACAGTTTACCCGTAGTACTGGATTTTATGCAAGGTGTGGGAAAACACAGCATCTCAAAGTCAATTTTAAATGCTCCAAAGTAATAAAAATGAAACAAGGTTATTAGAGGAAACACAACTTAAGCACACACACTTTGTTTAAATGGTATCAAAATAAGTAATTTAAAACACACGTGCAGTGCGGATTCTCACACTTTAACAAGATGCAGAGCACATGTGCACACACACAAATGGGTTTACTTGGAAGCTGCTGCATCCAGAAAGAGCAGTACTCAACCTCTACATACGCTGCGTATTCTGAAGGATGCACATCTGCACCTCCTCAAGGGCGCGTCTTACGGCCTGTTCACAGCCACCGGCAGCCTCTTTCCACTCGCTTCCTCAACATCCTCTGCAGGTAACAACTGTTGGAGCCACCTCGGCACAAGTGTACCTCAGCAGTGGCAACCTGCTCCCAGCGTATCCCCTACCCACCAGCCAGGCCTGGAAGATCACCCAGTTGTGTACTGAAACCATCACAAAAATGTTAACAGAAGTATCTGTGAAGGGACCTACCAATGGCTGTACGACTTGTATTGGTCCTACAGACACCTCAGCAAAGCAGCAACATCACCAGTGGCACAGAGCAAGGGACAAAACAGCATGCTGGGAAGAGGGGAGCGCTATTTCCCACCACTTACACGTGACGGTACATGCTTATAGCACACTGATGGAAAGTTTTCGACACTGATCCCAATGACCAAGCCAAGGAATGGTATTCATAAATTCTGTGAATAACACTTTGTATTTATAACGATGATATAAGCAGCAGTTATACAGTTACATAATTTATTTGCCCCTTTTAGGGTTCCATAAAAATTAAGTGTAGTGGGGGGATCATAACCATTATTTTGATTAATGTACGATTCAGCATTTATATGTATAGAAGCAAGGCCTTGTAACATCAGATTGTAAAGTTCTGTTTTAAACTAAACTGATATTTATTGTATGTCCCTGCCTGACATACAATGTTTCCATTTTGCTAGCTAATTAGCCCTTTTGTTTAACTTTAGCGTGCCCTGCTACCAACTACTCAAGTACCCTTTCCAGTTACCTCACAGTGCATCCCCAGGTCTCTGGAACCACTTAAAATCAGCAATTAAAACATTTTATCCTTTAGCTTGCCTCTAAACACTATTTAAACTGAGATTACATTTGCTCTCCATTTTGTCATCCTCACACAGCAGCAGAAGTGGCACGAGCAGCTCTGCTCCATATGGACAGTAAAGGCACAGATTTTGGACAGAAGACAGGTCAAGGTCGAATTTGTCTCAGTCTCAAAGAGTGGTTTGGAGCTGGTCATAGTGAAGGGGGAAATAAAAGATTTCAAGGATATACTTTCAGCTCCACTCTTGAGATAACAGCAGGAGAAATTGGTCTTCCTAACTACACAGTGACCACACAAGCCTCACTGTTTTAAAAATAATTTCTGTTTCTAGAAGTTATTATTCTGAATCCCAGGCAAGTTCCAAGATTACCGCATTCTGCTTAAAGTTTCCCCTGCTTTCAACTGAAAAGGTTCTTTACTTTCTGTACTAAGGTGTTGTATACCATTATATAGCACCCTATTTCAGTGACGGAGGAAGCAGTCTATACAGTACCTTTCCTACACAGTTCATTCCAAAATAATAAAACATCGCAATAACACAGCCTCAGGAGGCAGAGAGTTTTTCCTCTTTCTAGTTTGCAAAACAATATGCTTGGCACTACCATATAAAGGAACAACAAACTGGAAAATATTTGCAAATAAACAGCTCAAATCTATCACCCTCATAAAACTGTCTTCCACATAGACAAAGCTTGCTGGGCAAAAGCTTGGCAATAGCTCTAGGTGACACTGAAGCTCCAGTGACAGGCAGCAGCTATCTCGGATATTATAAAATCCCTCTTTTTTCTTTCAGCGAGGTATGAGGAGAGAAGAAAACAAACACGTAAAAATGTGCCAGTGAAGCTAATGAATGAGGAAGAAGTCTTACTAAGCAGAGTACCTGCTGATAGGTTGCATGGGGTACTCACAGACTGAGTGCTTAATTTATACCACTGCAGCCACTGTTAGTTTCTTCCTAGAGATAACACAAGTGAGAATTTCATCTCACATTTTACCATTCCTTTTTCTTGCCCTAATTTTAAAGTTTAACTAGGCTGCACTCCAGGGAAGCATTAGTGCAGATGTGTTTCATACAGTAAAGCTAAAATGAAAGACTCCTGTTCTTTTCCTGCCCTCCCCCAAAGACGCTGGACCTCAAGCTTCATATAAAGAGGTAAAACTTCTAAAACTTGGCTCAGAAGTTATCCCCAGGGATTGTTTAACATATTTGGAGCAACTTGCTACATATATACAGAACGCTCCCTGTAAGTTTTAGAACACAACTACTGTTTTCACAGATTTAGGTAAATATGGCATTGAAAACAAAACCCTAATTGCAAATTGGCACAGAACTCTAGACTAAGGAGTCAAAGGTG